AATAATAATAATAATAATAATAATTTCAATTTATTATTTACTTATTTACTTATTTACCTACCTACCTACCTACCTACCTACCTACCTACCTACCTACCTACCTACCTACCTACCTACCTATAGTATCTATCTATCTATCTATCTATCTATCTATCTATCTATCTATCTCTATCTATCTATCTATCTATCTATCTATCCTGTCTATCTATTTATCAATCTATCAATCTATCTATTATCTATCTATCTATCTATCTATCTATCTATCTATCTATCTATCTATCTATCTATCATCTATCCTGTCTATCCATCTATCTATCTATCATCTATCTATCTATCTATCTATCTATCTATCTATCTATCTATCTATCTATCTATCTATCTATCTACCTACCTACCTACCTACCTACCAACCTACCTATCTACCTACCTACCGTATCTATCTATCTATCTATCTATCTATCTATCTATCTATCTATCTATCTATCTATCTATCATCTACCTACCTACCTACCTACCAACCTACCTCCTACCTACCAACAGTATCTATCTATCTATCTATCTATCTATCTATCTATCTATCTATCTATCTATCTATCTATCTATCTATCTATCTATCATCTACCTACCTACCTACCTACCTACCAACCTACCTATCTACCTACCTACCGTATCTATCTATCTATCTATCTATCTATCTATCTATCTATCTATCTATCTATCATCTACCTACCTACCTACCTACCAACCTACCTCCTACCTACCAACAGTATCTATCTATCTATCTATCTATCTATCTATCTATCTATCTATCTATCTATCTATCTATCTATCTATCTATCTACCTACCTACCTACCTACCTACCTACCAACCTACCTATCTACCTACCTACCGTATCTATCTATCTATCTATCTATCTATCTATCTATCTATCTATCTATCTATCTATCTATCTATCTATCATCTACCACCTACCTACCTACCAACCTACCTCCTACTACCTACCAACAGTATCTATCTATCTATCTATCTATCTATCTATCTATCTATCTATCTATCTATCTATCTATCTATCTATCTATCTATCTATCTATCTACCTACCTACCTACCTACCTACCTACCAACCTACCTATCTACCTACCTACCGTATCTATCTATCTATCTATCTATCTATCTATCTATCTATCTATCTATCTATCATCTACCTACTTACCTACCTACCAACCTACCTCCTACCTACCAACAGTATCTATCTATCTATCTATCTATCTATCTATCTATCTATCTATCTATCTATCTATCTATCTATCTATCATCTACCTACCTACCTACCTACCAACCTACCTCCTACCTACCAACAGTGTCTGTCTATCTATCTATCTATCTATCTATCTATCTATCTATCTATCTATCTATCTATATCTATCTATCTATCTATCTATCTATCTATCTACCTTGCTGCCTATTTGCCCATGGAGACTCAAGGCTGCTTATAGAACATAAAAATCACATTTAAGACAATAAAGACTAAAAAAAGAGAGAATCAAACAAATTAATACAGTACAATATAACAAAATAAGCCCCCCACCTCCCATCCCCGTGCCCCAGTGACAGCCAATCACACGAGCCATTGAATGGGCTCCATCCCACTCGGGGTTCCCCAGGCCTGCTGGCAGAACCAGATCTTCAGTGCCTTCCGGAGGAGTATTAGAGTGGGGATGGTTCTAATCTCTGGGGGGATGATGTTCCAGAGAGAGGGAGCCACCACGGAGAAGGCCCTTCCTTCTTCTGGGTCCCACCAGATGTATCTCCCTCGGGGATGGGGCCCGCAGGGTTCCCTGCCTCTCCGCTTTTCCTGGTTTGCAGCTAAGAGATCAGCTGGGTACAGGTAATCCTCCATTGCAAAGCAAGACAATTGTTAATTGAGTTTTACCCTATTTTATGACCTTTCTTGCCACAGTTGTGTAACTGAATCACTGCAGTTGTTTAGTCAGTATTTCATTTATGTGGAATGGAATGGAATGGAATGGAATAGAATAGAATAGAATAGAATAGAATAGAATAGAATAGAATAGAATAAAATTAGAACTAGAACAGAAGAAGAGAATAGGGAATAGGGAATAGAATAGAATAGAATAAGAAATAATAGAATAGAATAAGAAATTAGAATAGAATAGAATAGAATAGAATAGAATAGAATGGAATGGAATGGAATGGAATAGAATAGAATAGAATAGAATAGAATAGAATAGAATAGAATAGAATAGAATAGAATAGAATAGAATAACAGAGTTGGAAGGGACCTTGGAGGTCTTCTAGTCCAACCTCCTGCTTAGCTGGGAAACCCTACACCACTTCAGGCAAATGATTATCCAACATCTTTTTAAAAACTTCCAGTGTTGGAGCATTCACAACTTTTGGTGGAAAGTTGTTCCACTGGTTAATTGTTCTCACTGTCGGGAAATTTCTCCTTATTTCCAGGTTGCTTCTCTCCTTGATTACTTTCCCTCCGTTGCTTCTTGTCCTGCCTTCTGGTGCTTTGGAGAATAGACTGACCCTCTCCTTCTTTGGGGCAGCTCCTCAAATACTGGAATACTGCTGTCATGTCATCCCTAATTCTTCTTTTCTCTAGACTAGCCAAACCCAAATCCTGCAGCCATTCTTCATTTATTTATTTATAAAATTTATTGGCCGCCCATTTTAACCCCAGGATAATTTTGGGGAGGGGCTTAGAATCGTTAAAAAAAATTCAAGAGCCACAGTGGTGCAATGATTAAAATGCAGTATTGCAGGCTACTGCAGACAGAGAATCTATGGCACGCATGCCAGAGGTGGCAAGCCATCGCCCCAGTTCAGCTCCGCCGCATGTGCTCATGTACCTCCTGCCGGCCAGCTGGTCTTCGAGTCTCTGCCACGTATGCACGGGGTGGAGTGGTGTGTGTGTGTGTGTGGGGGGGCTTTTCTGCTGTGGCTCCCGTGCTGTGGAATTTTCTCCTTGCTGCCCTCCAAAGTAAAGGAGACCTCATCACTTTTAAGCTTCCAAGAACCTTTCATACATGGTTAGGGCAGCAGACGTATGGACAGTGGGACAAGTGGAACTGGTGAGGTGTCTCCATCATAGCTAACATCTCTTTGCCTGCTAATTTTGTTTTATTTCTTATTTATTTACATTACTTGTAGATTAATTTATCCTGCCAAGGCGGCATAACTAAGACAGCTGGGTGACTTTGGGCCAAACACCAGGAGATAGTGAGTTCTAGTCCCGCCTTACGCACAAAAGTGGGCTGGATGACTTTGGGCCAATCACCACGCGACAGTGAGTTCTAGTCCCGCCTTACGCACAAAAGTGGGCTGGATGACTTTGGGCCAATCACCAGGAGACAGTGAGTTCTAGTTCCTCCTTAGGCACAAAAGTGGGCTGGGTGACCTATGGGCCAAATACCAGGAGACGGTGAATTCTAGTCCTGCCTGGCATGAAAGTCAGCTGGGTGGCCTTTGGGCCAATCACCAGGAGACAGTGAGTTCTAGTCCCGCCTTAGGCACAAAAGTGGGCTGGGTAACTTTGAGCCAGTCCTTTTTTTCCCCCAGCCCAACTCGGTCTGTGCAACCTTGACAATACCGGCTGGGGAATTCTGGGAGTTGAAGTCCCTCCAGAAACACTGGCCCCACCCATCCCCCAGGGTCATTGTTATGGGGAAAAGAAGCAGTGATGGAGGGAATATGAAGTATCTTCGCGGCCTTGACTTACTCCTAACGTAAATAAAGATCTCAATAAAAAATAAAAAATAAACATGTAAAATTAAAAGATGACAACCCAACGAACAAACAAGTAGGCTCTTGTGTCTTATGTGAACGCAACACCCCAATGTAACAAACCACAGGCCGATGAACAAATTGTTCACACAAGACGGAGAACCTCTTCCATTTCCTAGCTAGTCCGTTGGTTTGTTAACATTTTTTTGTACGGTTAACTAAAGCTTGTCTGCTGTTGACACCACGGAAGAGAGATTGCAGCCTGAACCGGCTGTAGCGGCCATCACGCCGTCTGTCCCCCCCCTCCCCCCCCTCCCGAGCCCTCTAAAAGAAACCCGACAATTGTCACACTCGATAACATCACCCGCCCCCCCCTCCCCACACCCTCTTATCCGCCTCGGGTTATTACGGGAAGGACCACTCCGGGAGAATTCCCTGCCTTCTCGTTAAGGGGCTGGCGTCGAGCCAAGACGTTAGCTGATGTGAGTGTGTGTTGTATTGCGGGGCGGGGGGGTGTTTCGCTTTCCATATCTTCCTTCTGCTCGGTTTGGAGAGAGGGGAAGAGAGGGGAAGGTTGGGGGGGGGCGAGAGAAGCGGAGGGGGTCCGCCTTCGCCTGCGGCAACCCTCACCCCGGCGGAGGTAAGGGGGTGCCCCCTCCCTCCCTCTTTCCCTGATCCCGGAAGGCTGGCCACACGTCGCCCGCAACAGGCAACTCCCCCTCCCTTCCCTGCCAAGAAGAGGTCCCTGGGGGCACGCGAGGGGGTGGGTGGGGGTGGGGGAGAAAGAGAAAACGCAGCTGTCTGTCTGAGCAGCAGGTGCCAAGGCTGTTCTTCTCATAGGCGCTCTCTCTCTCTCTCTCTCTCTCTCTCTCCCTCCCTCCCTCCCTCTCTCTCTCCTCTCTCTCTCTCCTTTCTCTCTCCTCTCTCTCTCTCTTTTCTCTCTCTCTCCTCTCTCTCTCCTCTCTCTCTCTCTCCCTCCCTCTCTCTCTCTCTCTCTCGCCCCCTCCCTCCCTCTCTCTCTCCTCTCTCTCTCCTCTCTCTCTCTTTCTCTCTTCTCTCTCTCTCTCCTCTCTCTCTCTCTCCTCTCTCTCTTTCTCTCCTCTCTCTCTCTCTCTCTCTCGTTTTTTCCGGCGGTCCTGACGCAGGACCGGGATCGCTATTGCGAAGGAGAACGGGGGAAGGGGTGGGGGGGGACACGATTGGGTGGGTGGGAGGGGTGTGAGAGAGAGAAAACAGGCAGAAATCCCTCCGGGAGAGAGGCAGAGAGCAGAAGCCGCTGCAACGGGAGGAAGGAAGGAAGGAAGGAAGGAAGGAAGGACGGACAGGTGGAGGGGGAAAAGCGCCGTGGTGCTGAACGGACAGCGACCGCAGCCACGCCTTGCGAGACCAGCACTGCCGCCAGCCGCCGCCGGGGGGGACGCCGCCGTGGGAGGGGGACGGGGACTGCGGTGAGCCCTGCCTCTCGCCCCCCACCCCACCTTCCAGCCTCCTCCCTGAAGCACCCAGCGCGTCTCCCGCTGCCCGGCTCGGCCTCGGACCCCCAGCCCTCTCCGCCTCCATGGTCGCTCGCTCACACCAGCCCCGGCCGGGAGAAGGAGACCCCGCTGGAGTAGCCCGGCCAAGCAGCATGCGCTCCGAGGCAGGTGGGCAGGTGGGCCGGGCAAGGACAGGTAGGACGGAGCCGGGAGGGTGGAGAAAGCGAGGGACCCGCCCGTGCCTGGGATGGAGGACACGCGGTGGAGAGGCGATCGGTTGAGTTGGGGAAGACAGGCCGGGCTGGAATTCTGCAGAGGGTGGGACTACCTTCCCCATCGTTCCCAGCCGGCGCCGTCCTTCTGGCGGGGCTAGGTGAGCGGGGAGGGGCGGGGGAAGGGATACACCAGGAGTAGCGGAACGGCTCCACTGCGGAGAAGGGGAACCGGCGGCATCGCTCTCGGCTGCTGGGGAAGATCCCCCCCACTTCCTTCTCGCCTACCCACCCTCGGGAAAACGGGTCGTTGCAAAGGTTTCCCTTCGGGTCGCACCTCCAGGGCTGCTGCGACTCAGGGCTGTTCCTTCCCTGCCCCGAGGGAACCGAGGCAGCGATCGTGGCTTGCCGGAGTTTAAGATTGGGAGGAAAGAACGGGTGGATTGGCTGGGGGGTGGGGGGTGGGGTTGGGGGGTTTGAGAAAGGGGGACGAGCAAGTCCAAAGCAGGCAGTTCTCAGCCCCAAACTCGCGCCAGCCCGGAAGAGCTGGATTCACACACATTTACTAGGCTTAGTAAGGGAGAACGGTGTTTAGTCGTTTTTGATGGTTTAGCCAACCAACTTAAGCCTGGTCTGGTCCAAGCCAAAGCCAGGAGCTTATCAGGCTCCATTTTATGGGATTGATGCCTAATCCTAGTTTAGTTGATTCATATATGATTCCGGCAAACCATGGAGAGATCTTGATGGCAGATTTAATCGGGATTTCAAACTCCCCCTAAGTATTTAGAACCAGTTTGGACTAGTGGTTAAGGCACCAGTCTAGAAAGTGGAGGACAATCACCAGGAGACTGGGAGTTCTAGTCCTGCCTTAGGCATGAAAGCCGGCTAGGAGACTTTGGGTCAATGACCAGGAGACGGTGAGCTCTAGTTCCACCTTAGGCATAAAAGCCCACTGGGTGACATTGGGCCAATCACCAGAAGACTGGGAGTTCTAGTTCTGTCTTAGACATAAAAGCCAGCTAGGTGACTTTGGCCCAAACACCAGAAGACTGGGAGTTCTAGTTCCACCTTAGGCATAAAAGCCCACTGGGTGACTTTGGGTCAATGACCAGGAGAGAGTGAGTTCTAGTCCTGCCTTAGGCATGAAAGCTGGCTAGGTGACTTTGGGTCAATGACCAGGAGAGAGTGAATTCTAGTCCTGCCTTAGGCATGAAAGCCAACTGGGTGCCTTTAGTTTAGTTTAGTTTAGTTTATTTGATTTGTATACCGCCCTACTCCCGAAGGACTCAGGGCGGTGAACAGCCAAACAATAAAATACATAGATACAAAAAATTTAAAAACCAGATAAAATCAAATTAAATCATTTTGGCCCAGACAGATTAAAACACCCCAATAATTTAAAAACGGATTAAAATTTACATATTAAAAGAGGGAAAAGATTAGGCCAAGCCCGCCTGGTGGAATAAAAAGGTCTTCACAGCATGGCGGAAGGTGCGTAGATCCGGGATCCTCTGTATCTCCGGGGGGAGCTCGTTCCAGATAGTGGGTGCCCCCACAGAGAAGGCTCTCCCCCTGGGGGCCGCCAGTCGACATTGTTTGGCTGATGGCACCTGGAGGAGCCCCTCTCTATGGGAGCGTACTGGCCGGTGGGAGGCTATTGGTGGTAGTAGGCGGTCCCGTAGATAACCAGGTCCTGAGCCATGGAGTGCTTTAAAGGTGGTAACCAGAACCTTGCTTCAATGCTTCAAAATTCAGAATTTGGTGTAGAAGGAAAGAGATGGGATGATTCAGTAACCAAGGGGAATATTCTGGGCAAACCCAGATTGTTGGTAAGGGGTATGATGTATGACAAACCAGAAGCACCACCAATTCTCTATTCCTTATTCTGTATGGTTCTGCTTCTGTTGCACAAAAACAGAGCCAGGTGAAGCTTGTAATGTGAATGCAGGCCTTATCTATTTTTGTACACACGCACACCGCAATGCACTCAAGCAGGATGTTTTCTTGAGGACGTTTTTTGGGAGTTGTAATTTTTATAGCCGAGGAGGTGCCTGTAAGCATCCGCCTTTTGGCTGACGTTTGTGGGACGTTTGTCTCACCTTTTAAGGACCTCCGTTTCCTTCATCCTGTTTTTGCTTCTCTGCTTTGTACTCGTTATGAGTTTTTATTATCAATTTATTATTTATTAATTCAATTTGTATGCCGCCCCTCTCCGAAGACTCAGGGCGGCTCACAATGCATTTAAAATCATTATAAAAAACATTTAAAAATTAAAAACATTAAAACTCATTCACGCCATTCATGGCCAGATCTCGCCGGATCGCAAGAGCAAGATCAACGGCCCCAGGCCTGCCGGAAGAGCCAAGTCTTCACCGCTTTTCGGAAGGCGAATAGGGTGGGGATGGTCCGGACCTCAGGAGGTAACTGGTTCCAGAGAGCTGGGGCATCCACAGAGAAGGCCCTCCCCTGCGGGCCCCCCAGTCGGCATTGTTTAGCTGACGGGACCCGGAGGAGACCAACTCTGTGGGATCTTACCGGTCGCTGGGAGCTATGCGGCAGAAGGCGGTCTCGAAGATACCCTGGCCCTGAGCCATGTAGGGCTTTAAAGGTAATAACCAACACCTTGAATTGTGCCCGGAGACCAATAGGGAGCCAGTGCAGCTCGCGGAGAATTGGTGTAATGTGGGTGTATCTAGGTGCACCCACAACAGCTCGCGCGGCTGCGTTCTGGACCAGCTGTAATCTCCAAACACTCTTCAAGGGTAGCCCCATGTAGAGCGTGTTGCAATAATCTAACCGTGAGGTGACAAGTACAGATGGTCCTTGAATTACGACCACCACTGAGCCCGAAATTTCCGTTGCTATAGCAAGACAGCCGTTCAGTGAGTTTTGCCCCATTTTACGACCTTCCTTGCCACATATTGTTAAGGGAATCTCGGCAGTTGTTAAACACGGTTGTTAAGTGAATCTGGCTTCCTCCTCGACTCTGCTTGTTGGAAGGTTGCAAAAGGGAATCGTGTGTCCCCGGGACGTTGCGACCGTCATAAAGTACATGCCAGTTGCCAATTGTCTGAATTTTGATCCTGGGAATGTTTCAATGATCAATGTTTCACCTTCAGTTCAATTTCATTTCACTTCAATGTTTCAAAGTGCGAGAAACGGTCATAAGTCATTATCTTGAGTGCCATAACTTTCAACGGTCACTAAGTGGATGCTTGTAAGTCAAGGGCTACCTGTATTATGATTTTTTCTCGCCCAGGGACAAAATCCTTGAAATAGGATTTTCTAGGCTGGCCCAACCTTATGGCCTCCGGAAATTGTGGGAGCTTCAGCACTGGAGGCTTTGAAGAAGACTGCTATTTGTCAGAAATGGTGTAGGGTCTCCTGCTTGGGCGGGGGGTTGGACTAGATGACCTACAAGGTCCCTTCCAACTCTGTTAATCTGTCAGCTGTAATCTGAACTGTCTTTCCCAGTAGTCAGTGTGCTTCCCTCCTGGATAACAATTTTTTTTAAAATAATGAATCCTATCCTCTTTTTATTGGATTTACAAAAAGTAGCTATTAGGACGGGGGTTTTTTTTGCATTGAACTCTGAAAGTCTGAGAGCCCCTTTCCTGACTAATGAATGTGATTTAAAAAGGCATACAGTACATTTTTCATGTAAAAACTTAATCCTTCATTAAATTTGCTAGTCAGAAAAAGGGCTATCTAGATCCTGATGTTTTTTGGGCTATCATAGACTAAGTTGCCTCTTCTTCCTGCTTTTTGTTTACTTTACCCGGAGTAGGTATTTATTTTTAAGGTAAGAAAGTCGATTTTTAAGATTCTTATACTGTGGGGATCCCTGGCGCTCTCTGAGTTTGGTTGTTTTCTTGCCGACATTTCATTTCCCAATTAGGCAAGCAGATCAGTGCTAGAAGGGAGTGGGGTTTGCAGGGAGGAGGAGGAGGAGGAGGAGGAGGAGGAGGAGGAGGAGGAGGAGGAGGAGGAGGAGGAGGAGGAGGAGGAGGAGGAGGAGAACGACTGTGAGGTCCTTGGTACTCTGGTGGTTTTCTCAACATGATAGGTTTTCTTGACATCTCATGACCCAAACTAGGCAACATCATCAGTGCTAGAAAGAAGTGGTGTTTGGGAGGAGGAGGAGGAGGAGGAGGAGGAGGAGGAGAGGAGGAGGAGGAGGAGGAGGAGGGCAATGACTGTGGGATCCTTGGTACTCTCTAACCTTGCTGGTTTTCTTAACATGATAGGTTTTCTTGACATCTCATGACCCAAACTAAGTAACATCATCAGTGCTAGAAGAAAGTGGGGTTGCAGGGGAGGAGAGGAGGAGGAGAGGAGGAGGAGGAGGAGGAGGAGGAGGAGGAGGAGGAGGATTATTGTGGGGTCCTTGGTACTTTCTGACCTTGCTAGTTTTCTTAACATGATAGGTTTTCTTGACATTTCATGACCCAAACTAGGCAACATCATCAGTGCTAGAAGGAAGTGGTGTTTGTGGTGAGGAAGAGGAAGAGGAGGAGGAGGAGGAGGAGGAGGATTGTGGGGTCCTTGCTACTCTCTGACCTTGCTGGTTTTCTCAACATGATAGGTTTTCTTGACATCTCATGACCCAAACCTAGGCAACATCATCAGTGCTAGAAGGAAGTGGTGTTTGCAGAGTGAAGAGGAGGAGGAGGAGGAGGAGGAGGAGGAGGAGGAGGAGGAGGAGGAGGAGGAGGATTATTGTGGGGTCCTTGGTACTCTCTGACCTTGCTGGTTTTCTTAACATAATAGGTTTTCTTGACATTTCATGACCCAACTAGGTAGCATCATCAATGCTAGAAGGAAGTGGGGTTTGCAGAGTGGAAGAGGAGGAGGGGGCAGTACAACTATGGGGACCTTGGTGGGAGTGGAGTGTGCGCTCTGTTCATATACTAGTGGCTTGCCCTATCAGTATTGTTAGAAATGTTGTTTTCTTGGTTAGGCTGTTGTTTATTGTTTGATTGT